GCTGATTGCAACCAATATGCCATCCTAGACACACTTGTGTATGAGTAAATTCTACTGAGCTCAGTGAGACTCACTTCTACATACAATTGGGCTTTTGGATATTTTTAATTGGATGGTAGGCTTTTCCAACAGTGCATTCATTTATTTATAATGGATGTTCAGATAAAGTGAGGAGCAACAATAAGACAAGCACCCCATAACGTCTACTCTCTTGATATAATATTGTTTAGAAGGTATTCCCATTTTACCTTAAACATCCTAGTGGGTTCTTGAAGAGATAGTGTCTGGGGATATGTGGAGGAGAATCCTGCACTGCATTTATTTTCATTATAAAAGGTAGATTTCTGATCCAATCAATGTCCAGCCCAGTTTTGAAATTAAAAACCTGGGACTGAATCTGGACAGGAAAACTTTAACTTACATTAGCAAAGGAATGGGGCAATGAGACCCCTTCCCTTTCTTTTCCTATTGAAAAATTCTGGTACACTTGAACCAGCACCAGGTTAAAGAACATTTGTTTTCTTTCAGCCACCTTTTTCACTTTCTAGCATGTTTTAAATCTACTTTTATTCCCAGTGCAGATAGTGTGGGCTGGGGGAAAAAGGATGGATACTAGCCAGGCACTCCTTAGTTGTCAGTCTTAAAATTTCAGTGCTTTTATCTATGCAAAATTCAGTATCAGCATTTTTAACACAGAAGTCACTGTTTTGGAATTTTCAGTTTCCCTCTGCTACAACCTCCCTGAATAAATCACACAACTACTTGAGGTTTTTTTAAACATAAAAAGGAGGTTTATTTATTAATAATTCATGAGTTCTCATCGAACATGCACGAAGCAACGGTGCTATTCAATAGAGAATACTGTCATCATCTGTCACTGTTTTATTTGACATTTACACTTTTTTTTTGCTTCATACTGAAAAACTTTCTCAGATAGCACAGAAAGATTATTTCAATTAAAAAGAAACACTGCAATGCATATTACACCTTCTCTGTTGATAGTAATTTCTTGGTAGGGAATTGTGTGTCTTGTTTAAAGGTTCCGTAACATAATGTTTTCAATATTAGCCTCTCATGGCACCTGAAACCCTTTTGGTTGATAAATATATGATCCTGAATGGGTAGGTGATAAACTGCTTGAATAAATAGATTGAGAGCTTACAAGAACTGTGAATGAAAGGTAGATTTGCTGAAGAAAAATATCCAAATAGCTTGGGAAAAAGAGAAAAAGAAGGCAGATAATAGCTTTTTGTGAAAGAAGTTGATATAAATGAATTGCCATTGTTGATGTCAAATAAATATTTATAAACAGCATCAGAGACAGGAGGGAGTGCCACAGTGGTATAAAATTGCAAGCATGAAGAAGGCATTTAGCACAATAACATTATAGAGTTAAGAGGGCTTAAGCAATTTCTTGCTAATATTAGGCTCATGAAAATCTTTCTGCTCTGTAGGTTAGTTATCATTTATAAAAATTGCAGAACCAGCTGATACATTCATAAGCTAATTATTGTAGCAGCTGGGTGTACATGGTGCAATATGTCTGAGGCTATGAAGTATCACAGATTTCTTGGGTCCTGCTGTGGTTTGTGTACATGCATGCCCAGGCTGTAGAAAGCTAGATCCCTTAATCTGATCAGCCAAGCAAAGAGTTTCTGGGGAAACTGGATTTCTCTTTCCCTAAATAATAAGAATGTGATTCACCTTCAGAACTAAGCTTTGCTAAATATGCCATTAGCGTATGTCCACTGGGGAATCAAGTCATTCTCAGGTGTCCTAAGGATGGGACCTCTGCCTGCTAACTTCCTGTGCTAGAAATTAATTTGGTTTGCTCATGTCTTGCACACATGGTCACACAACAGTCTACTTCATTCCTTAATAGCTTCGTGGTCAGGACCTTGCAAGGTGCTGGGCAAATTGAGCAAGATGCTTCCTAAAGAATAATGGCAGAGAGCACACTGTCCATAATAAGGCCTGTAATGTCAGGCTAAGTGACGGTAATGAGTGCAGATTATAGGAGTGCTTATCAATCAAATACAGCTGAATGTTGTGTGAAATATTCGAAGATCATAAGGAAGAGGGGAGCAGTCAACTGTCACATTTCTCTTTTCAAGCTGAACATTCTGAAAATGCAACAGCATCCTCAGACCAGAAGATTTCTGGGTCTAGATCACTCAAAACATGGACTTGGAGCAGCTGTAGGGTTTTTCTTAGCCTCTGTAAAAATAGGGGGGGGGGGAAGAAACAAGGCTGCTGCCTCAGTTTTCCAAGGGAATGTGTTGAAGCCATACTTGTTCAAATAATTTGTATGTGTTCAGTTGGAAACTTGGTTGAATCAGTAAAAAGAGTGCAGGAGGAAGAACTCCCCCCTTCCATGTTCTATTTTACATTTCAAAAAAAAAATTCTTTTGTATGGAGGAACCCCTGAGAAAACACTTTAGAGCTGAGAGTTTTAAAGGTCTGTTTGCTTGTTGCTTTCTTATTAAAGAGACATGGGATTTTGTGCGAGGAGAAGAGAATGTGGGAGTCAGCCATCACCTGATTCTGTGGTTAGCCACGTACCATGCAGAATAGTAAATGCAGATATTTATTCCAAGTAAATGATTAGATATCTTCTTTTCATTTCCCACCACTCCTAGCTTATTGCAAGAAAAGATCAGGTCTGCACAACTGTGGCCTCTCACTTGTAAAAACAAGGCAGTGTTGTGTTACAGATTAGTTTATAAATCCCCCGTGGCTTCACAGTTCAGTGCCTACAGCTGCTGCAGATGGGCCTGGCTTTTTGTCTCTTCACTGTGCTGCAGCCGGCAGTTGAAGGAGAAAATGGAATGATCAGGTTATTAACATGTAGGCCGTGAGGAAGAGGCTGCACAATGAGAACAGCTGGTGTGGCTGTCTTGGCTGATGCAGCGGAGATAATCAAATCTTGCTTTTCTTTCTTTCTTCCTTTTTTGGGGGGGGGGGATAAAGGCAAAAAACGCAGTGGAGAGTTAGGCACACAATCACATGATATTATGCAAAGTTTTTCTAGCCCCTTCATCAGGAGTCATCACTGGCTAACAAGTTTTTGTTTTACCATAGTCTTTCCAAGAGACACTAACAAACCTGTCTATTTAGATACTGTCATATGTAGACATCCTGAACAACAACACCAATTTTGTTGAAATTACTCAGATCCCAATGCTTTAAACAGGACAAAGCTATTCTTGGGATTTTGCTCATGCTTCTAAAAACTGAAGTGGTCACTTGACATTTTGGGCTGTAAAACTGTAAAGCTAATATGTTTAAAAAGTGGTAGACGTTTTCTTCATTGAGTTGCATTTTTTTCTTGTAAAACTCTAAGAAAGAATGTGTTAGTCACTGATTTTCAAGAGAGTGCTACCTGCCAGTGTAAAAAATGTTTTACCAGGTTTGCAGGATACTGTAGTAATAAGCACATTGGGTATAAGGAGATCTAATCTCCCCTTTTATGTAACTGGCTGAAGCTGCAAAGAGTTTTTCACCAATGAGAAGTATTGTCTTCACGTATTCTGAGAAGATTAATGGAGTGTGTCATCTGTCCTTTGCTGAATTTGCCTAGGGAAGATCAAGATTTTGAACAGTATTTTGTAGACCAATTGTAGGCTGTAGTGATCCTGTGACTGATATGATGAGTCAACACATTTTAAAATATTATAAGGTAGAGATTGTATGGGTTCCATGTGTTTTGCTTGCTAAAACGCCAGGTGAATTCTTTCTGTGTCTTACCCTTGTGCCCTTCCAATTTGTCACATTTCTTTAATTAACTTAAACTATTTTTAGCCTAAGTTTTAGCAGTCTGGATATGATGATTGGGTATTAGAACTGTCAGTCAAAGCAATGTAATGCTTTGGTACATCCTCCCAGTTTATATTTCAGAATAGGGAGGGATGAAATATAAGAGGAGAGAGATTTGGTAAGTGAGGCTGGAAGGATGGGTCTGGAGGAAGTTTGAAGTCCTAGCCCTTGGAGAACCTCTATCTGTCATAGTGACAGGTTTATGAATATATATATATATTTAGTACCAGGGAGGGCATGGATTGACCACCTATAGATACATTGCAATATTAAAGGAATATAT